ACAAGTTGGTAAGTCCAGGGGAACAGGCGCTGTACAATACTCCTCAGAATTGCGCGTAAAATTGAGTGTGTCGGTTCCGCAAATGCACAGAACCGGACATGCCGTAAGCCGCTTTGGTTACCCAAGTTTACTGGCCAAGGTTAAACGTCTTCCTTCGGTTAAGGGCTGCCTAGGCGGAGAATGAATGGTATTGTGCGCACTCGCTGCTTCTACGCAGTCAGTTACGCACTGTTAGAGATACTGTATGCGGCCTGTTTTCCTAGACTTATCAATAGTGAGCAGGTTAATTCACTGAAATTAGTTCTTACCTTAGATTCACCCTTTTCGAAATTGAGGCGATGAATTTACAATGAGACGGCCTCATTAAAAATGGTCCGTGCATTTTAAGTTGTGGGAAGTTTTCCGGAAGGGCGCATTCCAAGAGCTATAGACTTCAGAGTCCGCCCAGTATTCCAATAGTTTCTACCCCAGCGCGCCACGGCTTTTAGACGGGGCTTTATGTGACAGATTGGGCATGATTAGTGGCCACATCCTGATTGGGTATGTCTTTCCTAAATGAAATGATAGCCGCGGGTACTGGCGGGAGCTGCGAGTGAGGCAACACGACTCGAGTCTTTCGACAAACGACCTGCGTTGCATCTATCCGAGACGATGAGCATGTTTTTCAACGATTCATCATTTCTCGGATTATCTAAGAAATCGCCCGACAGACACGGATGTATGCGGCGCGAGCCAAAGGCAAAATAGAGCCACGAGAAGAGCGCGTGTCGGCATCGATTCAGCGACCGTGACGGCACACTGGCAGGGCGATGAATGCATCACTAGAACAATGACACGCCAAAATGCACGCACTAGCGCTGGAACCAATCGCGATGGGCTACTGGCTTGCCGTGGAGCTTGTCGAGTTCATCTCGAAATCGTGCAATATAAAAGCCGAAGTGTTCCACGAGAGCCAAGCGCGAGAGTCGAGGCGAATGATTTTTCGCACCAGTGCCACTAAACGACGCTAACGCTTCATAATTTATGGTTGTCGCCGCGGCCGATCGCGCGCAATATCGCCGCTGTGGGTTTTCTAGTAAAAGAAAGTGAATAGCGAATGTTCCTTCAGAATGCTGCGGAAGGATTTTTGAGCTATATTTTCAATCAAAATGAAGGGTAGCGCTTTCAACGTTGACCATCCCTTTTTGAAATGCGCCATGCATTATACTTCTACTCAGGATCGAATCGGCACTTTGATTGCGATTTGGCCCATACAATAGCTTGCAAGGGCTAGCCTACGACTAACAATAAGTCGAGCCTAGTACCAGTTTATCGGAAAGTATGGGGTTTGCTTCGAGGCGGAACAGTGGCATGTAGCACGCTTACCACGCACCCGGTCCGGGGATCAAAGTCACGGCTCGGCCCCTGCCCAGGTCAACCAAGGCTAGTACCCTCCGAGGACGGCAATTGGTACTAGAGTAGTCTGGGAGAATAGACTATGGGCTACTGACCTGAACATTGGTCGGCCCGCGCAAGACATTGTATGGGCAACATCGTATTCAATAAACCATTACGGTTCTGAATAGAAGTACCCGTGCCGGTGCGTGCGTAGATGCGTGCCGTATTCTAAGAAGATTAATCAACAGCGAAGACTTCTATTCTTTCATCCTTAAAGGCAGTTGGCACGATGATTTGGTGCTCGGCCTAAAATGCTAGTAGGGCGCTATATAGTGGGGAAATGGCGAAAGAACGGAGTGAAACGGTCAAAATCCTGCGAAGAAAGAGCCTCCGTTCTCATGTGTTAGAAATCAATTTTGGACGAGTTTCCTGTAGGCATCTTGCCAATAACCGCTACCGAAGGTACGGCTGCATATATCCATGCAGCATCACGGCCGCTTCATACCAATCCCTTCGCTTCATAATTTGCTTAGCAAATGAATCGATTAGAGCGTCAGGAACGGTCGTCCATTTGTGGGCGGGCGGGCGTTTGGGTCGGAATGTTGTGGCTTGATAGGGCCCTTATAAGGGCACCTTCCTTGGAAAGGCATTATGCAGCGCCTGCTCAGGGTCGCGGAATTCCGTCCTGCCAGGCGTATTAATCCTACTCGTCTTGGGGGATTTATCGTGCAACTGCCTTTAAAGGACGTCTTGTTCACACGCAACAAGGCTGAGTGTTTGAATTTAACCCGCCTGACCGCGCGCGTGTGTGCAGCGGCTAGTCACCTGCCCGCGCTTCGCCACCTCCCTGATTTCATTGTCCGTTGCGTAGGCCAGTGTGCTAACATAGTGATTTCCGTATCAATTAGTATGTTGACACTTTGTTATAATTTTGATAAGCACGAATCAAAGCATGTACATTCATATCCTGCTTTTTATGCGGTCGCGGTGACGACGCCCAACAGTCATACCGCTTCCAGCAGTTTGGTGGTGTGTGGCTGGCGAATCTGTGTTCATATGTATGGGAGTCAACTGTTATGCGCGATGGAACAGAAAAGAAAAGTGCGCCGTTTCAGTAATCGCACGCGGCGCCTATTAGCAGTTGCTGCGAATATTTACAGGCTTACGGTGAATCATCGTGAATGGCGCTATCCTACGGCTGATGCGCAAGGGGCGGGACGGGAACCGTTGTAGCCTCCTTATTGCTGTTTTCCTGCAATGACTGTGAACAGGAAGAAGGGGGGCGTCTGCGGAAATTGCATACAGCTGAATGTCTCGCTCATGCCGATCAGCTGGCGACTCAAACCTTCATGGGATAATGTTGCGGTGCTAGAAGTCACTCGAATCCGCTTGTTCGTGGAGACATTCGCGCATTGTAGCCCTTCGAAAGCGGGCATGTCGAGAGCGACTTCGTGAGAAACAGTTTAACTAATACGAATAGAATTACGAGTATTGGACCGGTCAACTTCCCAGCCAGCTTTTTCCTTGTTCACGTCTCTTTTTCAAAAATGTTTGTTCATTTTTCATTGCGGTAGTTCTGGTTTTGCTCTTGGAACTGGCGCTGTTCAGCTTGGAAGAGATATTTTGCACTTCCGCTAACTCCGTTTTCTTGTTTCTGTTGAATTACACGTCATACCCCGAACACATTTCTCAAGTGTGAACGAAGCTGGTCGCTGCGCTCTTTCTGGGCGATAACATGAAAGATCACAATGTCCTCCAATGGCGATCAGCGTATTGTTCGTTGAAAACTAGCCTAGAATCTCCCCAGCAAACCGAAACTGCGCCCAAGGGATCTTCTGCGAAAAGTCTCACTCCCAAAGCCGCTCAAGCGCAGGACTTTCTGATCATTAGTAGAACAGTGTACGATAGAATCTCCCAGGCGCTGTCATAATGGGCGCTTTTCCAAGGAAGGTGCCTGTATAAGCGGCCCTGTCAGGGCCACAACATCCTCAAGCAAAAGACGCCCGCCACGGCCCCTTGCCCACAGAATGGACGGACCTCTACGCTGTGAGTCTAGTTCATTTGCTAGAGAGCGAGAATTATGAGCGAGAGGGATGGTATGAAGCGGCCGTGGGATGCGAGATGGGATATATGGAGTCACTACTATTCCTCTCATTGGGAACCGTGCGGGGCGTGGCAGTTGGGCTGCTTTGGTGCAGTTTGGCCCAAAATTGTTCGTAGCCCACCAGTTCCTTTGGAAGGCGGCAGAGTGTGCATACTGTATTATATCCTTCGTATCACTCGTTTTCTACCACTTTTTGTCGCATACGCGTTGCAACAAAAAAGGCTGAGAACGGCTTCAACAGTGTGCGCACTCCTTCTGGCTGGCACGCCCCACCGGTCCGCAATGATGAAGACTGTGGTGTATGGGCGAGCGCGTTACCTCGGGGGGTGTGTGTGATGCGGTATTGCAAGATGCCTACCGGAGAGCGTGTGCTTGCGCGAGGAGTGGATTACTTAACACGAGTTGAAGGATGGAGTATTTGGCTTCGCACGGTAGTTTACCGGTTTCACTCGTGGGGTCGTTGGTGCGGCGGCGGGTGTGTCGGCGAGCGGTAGGAGTGAGCGACGCCGTGAGCTACATTTGCCAGTGCCGAGTGTGGCGAGGTCTTGGCCGTGGTGAAGTGATGTATTTCTTGTAAAGGTCTCGGCTGAAGTGTGCTCCGCCAGCGCCTACAGATCAAAACCTGGGCGAGAGGCGCAGTGTGTGATTGCAAATGAGGATGTTGAATGTCGGCAAGTTTGCGAGATTCGTCAGTGATCGGCGGTGCTTAGCTTGGTTCAGGCTCCAATCGCATTGAATTCGGGAATGACTGGTGTTTAGGACGGAACCTGAGGATCTCGGAATTTGAGGGAAAACCATTGAACCGACAGGTATCAATGTGCCCCTCGCTTTCTTTCTCCTCTTGATCCGTCCGTTTTCCGATTTTCGCCGAACGCCAACCAAGCAAATGCTTTGTCTTTTGATTTTCTTTGTTAATGTCGATGGGTTGGGAGTCACTGGAGAGGATTACGCGCTATTCGGCTTGGGAGGAGCACTTTGCATTATACCTAGTTCCTTTTTTCCATTTTATGCTAAAAAACAGGCCCAGTCCTGGTGAGCCACCCGTAAATTCGTGTGAAGCTGCAAAATGATACAAGTGAGCTATTTGGTTTCGGTGCCCACACCAAGCCAAACTGCTCCGAGGATTCTTTGCCAGCAATCTTCGTAAAACCGTGTGAATGGGAAAAAATCGAAAATTAATCTTTTACCCAGAAGCAGTCAATTTCTCATTAAATATTTCCATAAAATATCCCCATTGGAATGATAGAAGCTCGGAACGAGTAATAACCATGAATTTGATTTACGAGTGTCTGAAAAAGTTCTAGGCATTTTTACAAGCGAACAAAGAGTTACGGTACATCCCACGGAGAGCGGCAATGTCCATCCATAACTAAACCTTCACACAAAAATGTTCCGAATGGCACGTTTCACCGAGCAGGTGCAAGAGCCATGGGGGCAATTCATTGGAATAACGGCGCATATGCGACCGGGGAAAATTCTACTGAAAATAACGACTTCGATGTGAGCAAAAGGGTCGTTTATGATGTTTGCATGGTTTCAGGGAGAAATGGTGGATCGAATCGAGTACAATGTGGAACATGCGAAAGAGTTTGTTGATCGGGCAGTGGCGGACACTAAAAAAGCCGTTCAATACCAAAGCAAAGCACGACGGGTGAGTTTCCAGGTTTTTTTTTCAAATGGCCTTCGTCCCGATCTGCTTGTCCGAGGTGTTCAGCATTTTGTGACGTGATGGTAGAAGTGGTTGTGAACAGTGGTCGTGGTTGTCGTGTATGTGGCTCGTAACCGGTTCAGTCATTCGTTCAAAGGACTCATGAAATCCCGCTGGCTTTATTGCATTTGTGCACTTGCTGGGCCTGTTCATCATAGCGCGCGTTTTTTTGCTAGGTTGGGTTGGCTTGGACTGAAGGGTTCAGACTGATGGTGAGGACGAAGATGCACGTAGTTCATGTCTCATCGTTTTATCCTGCATTACAGCTATTCGTCGACACGGCCGACATGAGATCGATCACGTCATCGTCGTCGTCGTCCACCTTGTAGTCGTCGTTCGTTCTGCGTCGTTCAGTCTCTCACTCGGCACAACTCTGCGTCTTGATCTCTTCGCGTTACGTGCTCGGGCAAAGACAGCCAAAGCATCCGGATGCGGACATCGAGACGACAACCGCGAATCGTTGCCGCTTGGCAAAGCTCTTAAGAACTTCGATATCCGG